CCAGAAAACCCTTTGTAAATCAAAATCTTGTAAATAGGGAAGAGCTTTTCCATTATTTCTTATGGTTTGAAATGTGAACTTAATTCAAACATAACCCAATCACTCTATGTTTTCAAAATAATATTAAAGTTCTATAAAATACCTATTTATCTAGAAGATTTTTAGGAAGTTATAACGACACTGTTGGTGCTCATATCAAATGTTTTATCGTGTAAATCAGGAAGGAAAGGAAGATTAAAACAACAAAAATAATAATAACAGCTAATATCAAACACTACATTTTATGACCCGTAAGATGCAACTTTCGTTCAAAGAAAAGGCATTAAAATATATATCTATATATATAAGTAAAAATGTTCGTTTGTTCACTATACACTGCTAGACCATTCAACCAATTGCTAAGAAACTCTGCAGTTATGTTTACATACTTCTTAGATAATGTACAGATACCCCCATCCCAAAATATAGATTGGATTTCTGTAAATCAATTCATTTCCATCTACATTCAATTTGCTGAGTTACATGTAGCATCATCTATTGGCAAACAATTTAACAAGATTTATTAAACTAAATATAAATCTTATAAAAAAGAATATACAGTAAGACCCTGCTTAATGCTGATTCGATATAACATGGTCTGCTCGAAGCCTAAAACAACGCTCAAAATTTATGCTGATTCAAATTATCATGGCATTTCATTGATTCGTATATATTATGATTATTTATGAACACAAACCTATCAGCAAAAGGTGGCAATTCGTCATAGTGCTGTACTTACCTTAAATCTATGTTTGTTTTGTGCAATTTTGGAAAAATTATATCATCATGGATGCCATAGACAATATCAACTTCGCTTGGCAAGAATTAACTGATAAATGCATGAATGGAGTGTGAAAGAAGTTATGGTTGAAGGTATCCAAGAATTCTCAATGAGAAGAGCCTATCCAGCGTTAGCGTTAGGTTGACCAGGACTAGGAGATCTAGACGAGCAAGATATTGAGGAGTTACTGCAGGTTTTTGGTGAGAGCCATACCAATGATGACCTTTAAGAATTGGCAGAACAAGGAATTCATGTAGAACTGGAAAATAGAGATTCTGAAAATGAAGAATCCAAAGAATTTCTATTTCTTAGTAAAAGTTTGGTAATGATAACTGAAATCGTTGATCAAATTGTAACAAATGATCCAGATTTTGAAAGAAGTGAAAAAGCAAAACGAAGTGTTTTGTATGCAATCTTCTGCTACCAACATTTGCTTAAGAAAAGAAAAACAGCAACAAATGAAACTACATGACTTTATCACAAAAAACAAGAATTTCAGAACAGCCAGGACCTTCATCACAAAAAATGAACTTTACATTTCTTTGTGCATATAAACATTTGTGTGTTATTTAACATATATTATTATGCAAATTAATATAAAAATAACTTAAAATTAAAGTAAAATTTGTTTATTTTTGGTTGCATGTTCCCCTTTCCCTATTTACTCTATGTTAAAATGACCTCATTTAACGATGTTTTGTTTAGCGCTTTGTAGTCTAGAAATGCATCCCCCTGTGTTAAGCAGGGTCTTACTGTAATTTTAAAAAATATATATTATATTCACTTAAATAGCTGTACCCAGAAAAATATTTTCTGTAAAAAATCATTGTTAAATTACAAACAAGTAAAACAGCAAAACCGTATTTGGGACAAGACTATGTCTCGGAGTTGGAATCACTTTGATGCTCAAGGTAGGTCTCATTCTCCTATCTTCTTTGATATCGCTGCTTTTGGGCGCAATCATTCAAACTTTGCCGGCCACGACCATGAGATCATCCACGATGCATGTTCGATGAAATTAACCTATCTAATTTCAAAATTTCTTTCTGTTGCATGTCGGCTCGAGTTGAATTTTTGTCAATGCATAACAAAAAGTTTCCATTTTTGAAAAAAATAATCGTGGCTATTGTATCATCTGAAATTATTTTTTTATTTTGCACAAACAATATACAGTTTAACCCAATTATAATGTCATTGAATGTAATGACAATCCTACTATAATGTCAAATTTTTATCGGTCCTACGATTTTACTATACTAGATAATGTTAAAAAAAACCCCACTTGTAACGACATAAAACCGTTTAACGTCATATTTGAAGCACTCCCAAATTTACAAAATTAGATTACAAATTTTATTTAACATAGAAGAAACTACGTGTTCAGTCCTAAGGTCAGAGTTCACTTCTTAGAATGACTTTGGGTGGTACCAGTGGTGATATTCAGCGGGTTCGCACAGGTTCGGCCGAACCCGTTGCTAACATTTTCAAAGTTTTCCGAACCCGTTGTTAAACACACGTAACATTTCTCAGTGATTTTGTTTCTTTTAAAAAATATATTAACGCTTGGATGACCAGGGTCCTGATCTGTTGTTACCCCCCCTTTATCATAAAGATTACAGGGTATCGATTAATCGTTACCCTAATAAAAATCGGTTCTAATGAAAATTTTTGGCAACAGATGCCACCACTTGACGGTAGTGTGTTGTCTACCATCTGTTTCACATATTTGTGTCCAGGTGGTGTTTTGTCGACTGAAAAATTTTTATTTAGCGATTTTTTTTTTAATTTAAATATTTTTTCATTTATTTTATAGCATATTTACGTAATAATATTACTAAAATACGTTTAAACATGCTATAATAAGTTTATTTAGTTATAATAAATCAATGTATGATAAATATTTAAATTGTGACCTTCAATTTTGATACAGTGTCATAAAAAATTTTTGCGGCAAAAATAATTTATGAAATTTGCTTAGGTGATACATAACGATGTATATATGCTGATCCATACATTTTGGGAAAAGTTATAAGTCAAGGACCATTCTTGAGGCACCTTAAGGCACATGCCTGAGTTAACTCAGACTAGGAATTGCACAGTGTCACGCACAGTTTGCATTAACTTGAGTTAAGAACTCTGACGAGAGTAGTTGATTAATCTTGTCTGACGCAAGTTGGTAGCCCTGTCGATAAAGAGTAAAAGCATCAGCAATGTCAAGTGAGGCCCCTTGTGAGACTTCACTTGACAGGGGTGCTGTTGAAATGTGGTAGGGATCCCTGCTGCAGTAATTGCCCGGCCCAGCCTGAAGCCCCTGCTTTCGATAGAGCACCACTCTTATTGGCAGCAAGATGACTCCCACTTGTTGCACTGGTGCATGAAGTAACCAGTGTCTTGTATAGATTCAAACACAGTGTTGGCTAGAGAACTGAAGGATATGGATCTGACAAACTTAATCTTCTGGAACTTCAGACACACTTTTATGAACTTCCCCATTATTCTCGGCAGCGCAATGTCGATGGTTGAACGCTAAAAATGCAGCTGAGTGCAGTTGATACCACCATAGTCCATGGCAGTAAGAGCCACATGAAACTCCTTCCACATGGTAAAAGAGAAGCAGTTTCTTAGGAGGAAGACTTGGCTTTGCACACCCACTGCTGGCCTAAGAGCAACAACCTGCATGCAGAAACCAGTGGGGCAAAAATTCATACTTTCGTTGTCGAAGCCTTGCTGGTGGCCAGGGGGAATAGCACCTGTAGTGGCTCACAGGATCCTGCTAGCTGCTATCTACCATGACGTGTGCTTGGCAAAGCCTATCTGTGGCAAATGCAAATTTCCACGTGTCTTGAGGGGAGGGAGTTGCTTAAAGGCCCATCATTTGCTGAATGAGCCATAACTTCTGGGCTTGGATGACCTTGGGTAGGCAGCCGATTAAATAGATAGCTGTCCTGTCAGTGGGCCAAATCACTTGTGGGGAGGCTCTTAAATGTGGGGCATGCATGGAAAGTTGAGAGTTGCCTCAACCTCTCTTCTTTTATTTTTATCTTAATGGCTAAACATATAAAAAGTGTGCATGTGACTCTTGTGCAATGTAAAGNTACGTGTTCAGTCCTAAGGTCAGAGTTCACTTCTTAGAATGACTGTGGGTGGTACTCTCTCCTACCTGACTTCGGTGGGGTGAGGTGGCTGTTTTGCCTGTTTGTAGAAGAGGGTTGCCACTTTGTATTTTATTTTGACTCGATTCTCGGTCCCCTGACTACCTATGAGTCTGGATTTTTTTATGTGCAAATGATTTGGGCACCTAATACTCTGTGCCAAATATCAACTCTCAACATGTACTCCTTCATATCTCTATGCTGGTAAGAACATTGGGCAGTACGATTTTATAAACAAGACATAGTCTTTTCAATAAATATGGAAAATAAAAAAGAAAATAAATTTATTTACATAAATTTTACTAATATAAAACTTATATCTTGGTATAAAACATTTTTTGTATAAATATCTCCCTAGTTAGGTATTTATTTTTACATACAAATTAAGTCAATGATATTTAATTAAATGTACTTTTTCATTTCTTTTTTGCCTGTCTATAAGCATTCTTCACTTAGGCATCATTTAACTCAAAAGAATCAGCATCAGTCCTCCTGACCAAAATTTAATTTACAATAATCTTTCCATTAATAACATAAAATTAAAAAATAATTGGAAATCAACAAAAGAATGTCAACTCAAGAAGTTATTTTGAGAAGCATTTTTATACTGGATGAGGTTAAAAATTGCTGAGGAATGCTACTACAGAAAGAGTGAAATTAGGCATATTTTTGCTTCTGATTGCTTTAACTATTTATATAAGTTATACAGTAAAATAACTATATATAGATATCATACATTTAAAAGATCATCATATTAAAATTAGCTAATTAAATCATTTAAAACATGAACAATTAAACATCTTATTATCAGTATATAATGATTAGATAATTTAGAATAATTTAAATAAAAATGTCCATTAATTTTATGCTAGTTTAGAATCATAACATTTATAGTCACACTAACCAGAGCTCTTTAGTATTCATAACTCCCAAATGAGTAAATTGATTAGTTATGATTTATTTATTTATGTATAAAATATATATAAATAAGAATCATTGAAAGAATCGTTAAAGAAGCCATTACTAACCTGTTTTATTTTCAAAAAAACTAGATGATGATTTATAAGATACCAACCATGGTAAAGGTTGTTTAACTGATGATTTGAAATTATTTAAATGATTTAAACTCTGAAAAACATTGTCACAGCATAGTTCCAGGAAATTCTGACTAGTGCAATTCCTTAATGCCTTTAAAAATAATTGAAATCAATTTAAATTCTATGCAAAAAGTATATACTGTAAAAATTAAAACTAAAATTTCTTAATTAAATGTTATTTACTAAGTTTTAAATTTCAGAATCTATTATTAAAATTTTATAATAATAAAAGAATTTTACTTTTAACATTAAAAAATGTAAATTATAATTTTAAAGTACCTTATACATTAAGAAATTTTTAACAATTATAAAAACATGCAATTTTAATTAAAATGAAACTTTTTACTACTAAAAAATTACTTTAAATAAAATTTTATATCTAATAAGTTCTTTTGTTGAAAAATTAATCATTAAAAAGAGAAAAAAATTTTTGAAATAAGAGCATGCTATATATTTTAAAGATTCTAATGATTCAAAGAGTTATATTTATTTAAAAAAAAAAGGAGGCAATTAAAAGTTGTGTATTTAGTAAAAAAAACTTAAAATTACAAAAAGTATAAAATGTCTATGAATTACTCATTGAATAAATCGTTAAAGAAGAGATTACTAAAAAACCTTTAATAAACTTAAAACATTATTTACATAATACTATTGTACATAAATAATTTTTAATTTAACATTGATAATTGTTTTTAGTAAAAATTCCACAAAAAATATAGAAAAAATTTTCTTGGTATATATACAGTCAAACTTCATTAAATACAAAGTTGAAGGGATTTAAAAATTGGCAGTTTTATTAAGCAAATTTAGCAAAAAATCAACAGTCACATCATCAAATGGAGAAAACAAATGTTTATTTTTCAATATTGGCTAGAGTTGGCAGAATGATGATTAAAGCTACTGGATATAATAGATTGATCTAGCTACCAAATTGATTCCAAGAGCTGGATAAGCATAAAACTTAACAAATTTAAAAATAACTTATTTACTTGGATTTCAATGAAAAATGTTTATTCTTAATTTTAAAATTATGACCTAATTACAATATTTAATACTTTGATATTTAATTGAGTTGTTTTATTATTTCCATTATTAAAACAATAGCAAAAACTATTTCATAACACTACAGATTTTTAACTGAAAATCTTCCAATCCTATAAACTTCCTTGACAGTGAGATGGCCTAGGTAGTTAAAACATCCTACCATTCCAGAGGACCTGGGAACATATCTTGGTAGGTCAAAAGAACATCAGGAATTTTTTGGGTGTGGTTTGTCCAAGATATGTTGGACCTCATTCTTCAAAACCCAGTTGCCCTATTGTAGATCTGGTCAAACTCATGATGGGCCTGGAAAAAGTCCTCGTTACAAGTTAATGCATACAGGGCACAAAGAGTAAACAAAAAATTTGATTTCCAATGACATGTCAACTATCTTAAATAATCATTCAGTATTGTCACAGAGTACAAAGTGCTGACTATAAGAGAAAATAATTTCGTAAATTGGAGTGAACATCGTTGGGATGGTGTGTGTCCAGCAACTGTATTGTCAACAATAACAGCATTAATGTCATAAGCATCGTGGCCAATGTTAAAGTTGAAAAACATGTCCTTGTTCCTGGTCATGGATCCTGTGACTTTGTGGACATTGGAAGCAGTGTGCATTATATTAACCGATGTAATATAATTGTTATTGAATTCACAATGCCAACACAAGCTTTGTATTACATATTAACTGATATTTTGATATTTTGCATTAACCAAACTCATTAACATTGAAATGCCTATCCTGGTCCATAAGACCACAAATGAACTTTGCATTAACATGGACGTCACATAAAACTGCTAATATATTAATGGGATCTGACTGTATATATATAACAATGATGCACCAAAGAAGCCAGGACCCTGGCACCCCCCAAAGTAAAAGGGGGGAAAAACTGTTGTTTTCTGAGTTGGTAAAGGGGTCCAAGATACAACATTTTTGAAATAAAAATGTTCAATACAAAGCTAATATCAGCAATAATTGCTGGATACACTACCTTATTTTTGTAATCACCTTATTTACCTTTTTGTACCTTATTTTTGAAAGCAAATAAATAAATTTGTTATGTCCTTCCAATCCGACATTCACCAGAGGTCAAAAACGACTCAGAAGACAATTTTAATTCACAGATCTTTACTTATATGGATTTCAGATCAGAGTTTATACTACCGATCCCTCCCCAGTTTACAGATAATAAAAAACTGTTTTAAATTTACAGTTATTAAAACACACAAAATTTTAAAAAATATATAAAATTACATAGGTGTACTCTACAACAGTTTTCATTTTTCTTAGTAACCTTACATCAATCACAGTTACAATCGTTCTACATTGTATAACACTACTTTCATTCCTATATACGATGTCACTCCATATGTCATCTACCATCATTCCATTATTCAAATTAATTAAGTTATCATTATTTTTGATTGCAACATGTTCTTTAAATTTCCATAAATATACATGTTTTTAAAATAAAATCTTAATATTATCATTATTAATTGTACAATCATTCTTGCTACAATGTATAAACCAAGGTAATTGTGTATTTTTTAATTGGATTGATGCTGTGTGTTCCTTTTCAAATTGAATCTGTTTATTTAAGTATTCAATTCAAATAGAACTTAAAAACAGAGGATGTATAAACTACCTAGATATAACAATAAATAGAAGCACTACAGGAGTTAAACTTAAAAAACATGAAAAAACTGTATTACCAATAAAACTATAAACTATATGTCATACTGCCCTTTAGACATAAAAAGGAATAACTTTATTACAGCTTTATGGAAAATTTACACACATACAACAGATAAAAAGAATAGACTAGAAGAGCAAAGAAAGTTGAAAAAGATGTTCTTACTGAATGGATATCCTAACAGAATAATAGAAAAGTGGATAAAAGAATATATAAAAAACAGATATAATGTAAAATTTAAAGAATTAAAATATATTTCCTTTCCATACATTAAAAATAACTTCAAGATTTGTAAAAAAAAATTTTTTTAGAAAGTATTTATAAAATTAGCAGCAAATTTAAAAAATAAATTTAAAGAACTTATTTGTTAAACAGTAAAAAAATAAACAAAATAAACAGAAAAAAAAATCAGGTGTCATATACAAGATATTGTGTACATACAATGATAAAGTATCTTATATTAGAGAAAATGGAAGAGTATTAGAGAAGAGGATAGAGGAACATGAGGCATCAATTCAGTTTAAAAAAATACCCAATCTCCTTGGTTTATACATTGTAGCAAGAATGTTTGTGCAATTAATTAACAATGATAATATTACAATTTTATTTTTAGAACATGTATATTTATGGAACCATGTGGTACATTCAACTTGGCTTCCTCCAACATAAAATTTTGAGTGCACCACTAATATAAAGTATATACTTTTCTAATAATTAATATTAAAATTGTCTTTATAATATAATTACCTCATTTAAACTCTCAATACATAGGATAGTTTCTTTTTTCAATTTAGACTTGCAGCTCTTGCTTTTATTAATTTCATGACGTTGAACTCCAGATAACAAAGATGCAAAATGGCTAAGAGGCAGAAAATTCTGCTGCTAAAAATATTAAAAGTAATTATTAATAAATTATACACTTTTATACAATTTTATCATTTTAATAACTACAAGGTTGTGTTTAAAGGCTTAAAAATTAGGAAAATTAAGATTTTTATGGAGTAAAATTAGGCTACATAGGACAAATTTAAAAATAGTCAAAATTATCACTTAGATATCAATAAAATACAATGACAAAAGCCATCTACAGTATATTTATTTGATAAAATATCTTCTCATTAATGAGGAAAGAAAAGATAAAGTTAACTTATTATATACAGTAAAACTCAATTGTCCAAAGCCTGATTAACCAAGATTTCAATTATCCAAGACAAACCTGTAAGCAAATACACTACTTTTCTTATAATTCATAAATGCACTGAGCACATAAACAATGTAGTAGTTTAAACCTTCAACTATACAGAGTAAACAGTTGATGTTGAGGTAACTACATATTGTAGCACAGAAGGAACAACTATAAATCAAAAATTCTAAAGAACTTTTAAAGTTTAAAATGTACTATAAAATTTGTTTCTGTAACTTTTTATCAATTAACTTCAATATGAGACAAACCATTCATATTAAAATTCAATTACAATGATAGTTTTAATAATAAAAATGTGTATTATATAATAAAGCCAAACAATTGCCAGATTAGATTGGGCAGTAACATAGCCAATCTAATCCAGTAATTATTTGGCTTTATGCATTACAAAAGAATTTGATCCTGTATAATCACTAATGTAAGACAATTAGAACAATTTTTGAAAAAGCAAGATATTTCTTATTTTCCTACTACATAGTAGTAAAAGTAAGGTGAATACAAGACCTGTAATTATTATTAACTAAAGATATATTTTGAAATAAATCAGAATATTTTTTCTAATTATAACAACACTGTGTTATAATTGGAAAATATAGTTAAAAGAAAAAAAATTCAAACTAATATTGTTGCATTTTATATACATATATTGTATACATTAGTAAAGTACAGATAAGCAAATTTTTAGTACTCAAAATAAATACCTACACCCATGTCTGTAATTTAATGAATTCATGAGTACACATATTTGCTGCTACTGTAAAGGAACAAAACACATTAGAAATGCTGTATGGCAACTTCTAATGGAAATGATGTAGGTATATGCAAATTTACAGATAAGGAAATCAGTATAAAGCATTTTCTGCCAGTTTGGGCAATTGGCATTGTTAGGTAATTTCTGTGCTGTGAAAATGTTATCACCTTTTAACTGCAAAAGAAGATTTTTAGGCAGTAATTATGGCCAAAAAAAAAATATTGATGACACTATGCATGATAGGATTATTGGAAGATTAGAGTCTGGCCAAACTCAAAGACAAGTTTCACAGGAAATTAATGTTCCACCAAGCATTATCTGTAGGCTTTGGCAACAATTTCAACGTAGTGAAGATGTTTGAAGACAATACAGTATAGGTCACCCAAATGTCACAACTGCACATACAAACTGGTATGTGGCAATAAATGCCCAATGCCACCCCACAAACACTGCAAGTGAATGGCTTAGAGACCTTTCAGCAGCATCAGATATCACCATACCCAGGCCCAAACAATTTACAGATAGCTACGTGACATCAGCCTGTATGCAAGATAGCCTGTTGTATGTATTCCTTTAATTGCATGGCACATGCTGATCTGCAGAACATGGTGTATTGAACACCTTGTTGGGACCCCACAACTTTAGGCCACTGTACTCTACTGATGAGTCCCATTAAGTCTAGAAACTGATGGTTGAAGAGTGTACATCTGGCAAGCCCCAGATATTTTATAACCCTTCCCACATCATTGAATGTCATCATTCTGGAGATGGAGAAGTCCTCGTTTGGGATGGTATCATGTTAGGGTCTTATACACTGCTGCATGCATTTGAACACAGTATGGTAACAGACCAGATTTATAGGGATGTCATCCTACAGCAGTATGTGCAATATTTTAGAAGTGCATTTCATCCTGGGTTTTTTTTAATGGACAATAATGCTCGCCCTCATAGGTCTGGCTTGGTTCAGGAATACCTGGAATATGAGGATATAAGGCATCTGGACTAGCCATCCTATTCACCAAACTTAAACTCTATCATAACATGTATGGGATACCCTTGGTCATAAGATTATAACAAATCATCCTCCACCACAGAGCTCCAAAATGTACTCATACAAGAGTGGGATTCATTACCCCAGGAACTGGTGGACAACGTTATAAACAGCATGCCAAACTGCTGTGCAGAACATATTGCCATTTGCAGCAATCAATCACATTATTAAGGTTCACAGGATCACAGGTGTGACATTCACAACACAAGTGGTGTCATGTCGGAAAGTCCAAGTTTGCTGTTTTTCTTTTTCTCCCAAGGGGCTAGATAAACCCAAACTTCTTTTCTCATTGCATTTTGTCTTCCTATGTTATATTCATTTTTTTTAAATGTGTTTGTTGCAGATGAATGAAGCACATCCTCCCCATATAGCAAAGTCCTTAAATTATGGACATGAATGTATTTTGCAGAAATGCATATTTCAGAGAATAACAACTATAATGAAAATTATATATTCGATGTTGGCTTCAGAATGTCCATTATCAATTTATTAAAACATTTTATATCTATCAATAATAGAACAACACACTTCATCAAAGATTTATGGTTTAACATATTCAACTGCATTTCAAATGAAATTCAAATGTACTTGGCACATGCTACTTCATTCCTTGCAATTTTCTTCCTTCTAATTAAATCAATAATAGTAAGAACAAGTGATTTAGTGCTTGCTGTCTAAGGCCACAAAATCCTATACAGCAGATAAATAGATGGATAATTTAATTTTGTTACCAATATTAATTTAATTTAGAATAAAGTTTCAAAAATTCCTTAAGATTATTACAATACTAAATAATCATGTGCTACTTTATATGATTATAATTTACACACATTTAATATTTATCCACAAAATTCAGTGTTCTGATATTCACAAGGTAACTAACTCATAGTCAAAAATATACACCTTATTAACTCTAGTAAGAAGTTTAATAGAATAATATTTTAGACCAAATTAACTGATCTTCTTCAGTTAACAAATTATTAAATACAAAGTTTGAAATGTAAAAGAACAAAAAATATAAATATTAAATAGAATATACAAAATTTAAAACACAACAAATATCTAAAATTTAAATACAAAGGTAAAAACAATAATAAACATAAAATATAATATTATGTTAAAATAATAAAATATGATCAAGTTAAAGTTCATATAATGTGCATCAAGCAGTAGAGAAAATGTCCAAATCATGGTGATCAATGCATGTGAATTTCTTGTGAGCCTTATTCTAATCTCTCTAAATACTTAAGAGAATTGGCATTCTTGGTAGGTCTGATGATTTTCATGTCATCCCAATTCATTTGGACGTCATGGTGAGTAATATAATCCACCACGGCATATTAGAGTGATTCCTATATCTGTTATTTTATCCTTTATTGTAGACTGTGTCTGGTAGCCCCTATGTACTGTACACAAGTTTTATTTTAATTAAGTGGCCTTCTATTGAATAGAATAAATCCCAGACAAACTATTATGATCATAGTGCATCTTGTTTTCTAAAATCCTAAACACAGCTGGGTTTATACACTAGACTCAGTCACCTCCTTATGTATTCTTTTTAGTGCAGGGAAGTAGTTCAGAACAATCCTTTTATGCTCAGAACATACTTGATTAGCCCTAGATGACTGAAAAGTGATAATTAAATACTATATTAATTCAATCAGGCACCCATGTTGTCTTGCAATCTTTAAAATGTACCTGAGTTCAGTTATAATGCCCAGATACTACAGCCGTGTGTGAATGCTCTCCTTATCAAAGACCTGAAAGCATAAAGTTTGACATGGTGAGAATCCATGGAGTTGAAATTGGCTGATTTGTAAGTTTAAGATTGGTGGTTAGTTCCCACCTCTGCATGAAACCAAAAGATCCAAGAAATGTACAGAAATTTCACTCTCCTGATCCAATTGTAGGAGTACCCTACGAGGATTGTCATTGATTGATCAGAAAAAATGTTGTAGGTCTGGTTTTTTTGCCATAACATAAAGATAGCATCCGTATATCTAAATATCAATATATAAAATTACTTGTCCTGATTGACTGATTGATTCATTATTGTACAGAGCAAACCGCTGAACCTAGAGGTGAAATTTGGTACACATTTAGGGTATGTCATGAAAACGCACACTAAATAGGAATTTTTGGAAATTCTCCCACGGAGGAGAGGATTAAGACTTAACTTGAAGAATGGCTTCTATTGTACTATTTTAGATGCGATTTTTTGTTTTTAACTACATTTAGTCTTCATTGAGTACTCAGGTGTATTAAATTGATAATATTTCAAACATTGTTATAAATATTTTTATATATTTCAATTTTTTAACAAATGTTCAAACTGTTTTAAATTCGAATTTGTTATTGCATATTAGTTCAATTATAGAACGATTATAAACGTTCCGGAAAATTGATCAAATTGAAAACAGTTTGTTTGATTCTTAGCAATTCTCATCATTCTCAGTGGTAGGTGTTGTATAACAATTACTATGGTTGTTGAAATACTGAATATAAATGGGGTTTGCTTGCAAAATCTGTGCGGACAAAGTCGCGGGTAACAGCTAGTCTAGCATATGGTACGATAAAAATTTCATCTTTGTCAATCCAGCAAGAATTTAATAGCATAAAAACATTTTCAATCATTTTAAACGACCTTCCTCAATTACATAAAACTGAACATTAAAACAGAACACCAAACGATTATGGAACAAATATAAAAATTAACGGAAATTGTCCTTGTGGACTAAATATAAATAAATACAGTAGACCCCCTATAATGCAGGTTCCTATAACGTAGATTCCTATAACGCGGCAAAAAAATTGCAACAGTATTTGTATAAAGACGCTAAAAGGGACGCGTAACACGTCATCACGGACGAGCAGCC